CTTACACAAGTGGTGCAGTCTCCACCAGTAGTCAGGAAGTTTTTCTGTAGTGATTGCTAAAAGGGAGGGGTTTGAGGAAGCCCCAGGGCACAGACAGACCTCATGGTCTCATAGCAGTCCCTTATACAGCCCCAGTGGTCATGGGTGTGGTGGGGACATGCTCCAAGCAAGATATGAGGCCATCCTTTGCAGTGTTCACACCTTCAGATTGAACTCAGCCAGGGCCACAGGTCCTGTCTGATATGAGGATGAAGATATCACTGTTTTTTCAGAAGAGGTTTTAAGTTTGACCACTGCCATTGTTAAGTCTTGGGCTGGAGAGGGAGGAGGTAGGAAGGGAGAGGTGTATTTGTCAGGAGGAACTGAGTACTGAGATGGCAACAGGGCCCTGGACATGGAGGGCAGCTGGAGGTGTTGTCTGGTCTGTGGCTCGACCTCCCAGAGAGCTTCAAGTGTGGAAGTGACAGACAAAGAACATACACACCTGCCTGGCCATGTGCCGGGGAGATGGCCTCAGCGTGACTCTGGGGGTCTTGCCATTTTGCCCCTTGCTTTAGGTGCTGCTTGGCCAACAGCTGTGTGCAGCTGCTCCCTGCAGCCTGGCAGAGTGCTGGAGTGTCGGTGTGTCCGTGTCGGTGTGTCTGTGTCGGTGTGTCCGTGTCGGTGTGTCCGTGTCGGTGTGTCCGTGTCGGTGTGTCCGTGTCGGTGTGTCCGCAGGTGTGGACGTGCATCTGTCTGTGGCCATCTAGTGGACACTCAGCTTGTGCTGCTCTGGGCTGGGACTGGCCTGTGCTCCACAAACCTCGCTCCTTGAAACGCCCCTGTTGGAACACCAAAGGCAGGATGAGAGATTTGTTGAAGCAAAATTTCACCATTACCAAGCTTGGAATTTTTCTTTATTAATGAGGAATTATTGGGCAGGAAAAATATATATATATTTAATATTAATATGAAAAATTTCCAATATCAATTCTCCTGTCTTTGTGCCCTAGCTTGGAAAGTAGTTGCCAGGAAAATGAGTGTTACCTATGGAAACTTTTAGGTTGAAACAAAACAGAAACAATACACAGGAACACCACAGATGTTTTAAAAGACCCCTTTGCTAATTCAGATTTCTGAATTATGGCCAACCTCAGGGAGATTTCTCTCTTTAGCAAACAATGTTTCAGGAACTGATTAGGTAAACAAACTAATATGATGAATGTGGATAACAAGGATGTGTCAAATCTCACATCCCCTTGCAAAATGAGAGATTTCTCCTCCTACAATTTGCTCTTCTGCATCATCAATAATCTGAAGTATCAGTTGTCATTTGTGATTCAGAGGCAGAAGTTGTCGAGATTATCCCTGCCTGTCTTGACTCCAGAACTCCCACTCCAAAACCTTTGCAACTCTGTAGTCAAGTATGGAGTGCCTGAACTTTTATTGCTTTTTTGGCAGTGGGCAATGGAGGTGAGAATTAGGTGATGATTAAGTTAGAAACATTCTCATTTATAAGGCTTTGCAGTACTGCATGACAAACCTGCCCACTTTTCTCCATTGTCCATTTTTATAGGATAGGCTTCCCAGGTTCCACAAAGGAGGTTTGTGTGAAAATAAAGAGATGTGAAACTTCTCGGGGTGTTACATATTGGTTCAAAAGACACCTCTGCACATAACATCGTGACAGGTTTGCACAAACACGTGACATGCTTCAATCTAAAATTAATCAGAAGTTTTCACCACTGCCCATGGGGTGTGGAAGCAGAAACACATTCTTTTCACCATGCTTTGGGCTGTGCAACAGAGAACCAGATGAAAACAAGTGAGAAGGAAGTGCACAGCACAGAGCAATGTAAGTAAAGCATTTCACAAAGCTGAGCAATCCATGGGGTGGGAAGGAGCAAGAGGAAATGTGCACAAACCTAGACATTGTTAGAAGCAGACCAAATCTCACAGAGTCAGAGGAAGCTGTAGAGTAGATATCTCCAAACAAGGACAATAAGCAGTCAAAGAATTCAAAAACCACAAGAGATGTGTAAGGTGAGTAAAGTATAAGGGTGAAACCCTCTCCCAGAAAAGTGGGGTGCCAATAATAAATAACTGCATATTTGGATGTTGTGACTGATGCACCAATTCAGCTGAAAATACCTCTGAATTACTAAGATCATCGTGTAATTCAGCTCAGAATCAAGGCATGTGAAAATTTTGGTAACACATTAATAAATTTGAAGAAATTGCTGAGATCTCGTAAATGAAAGCCCCACTGATGGAGCCATCTGAATGAGGGCAAAACCCTCATTCATGAAAACAGGACACAGGGGACAATCCTGCTGATCTGAAATGGCATGAGGGCTGCCAGTGCCATGCTTGAGCTCTTCACCCAGTGTTCCTCAGAATGAGCTTGTGACAGAGGTGCTTGACTGGGATCTGATCCCAACAATACTCAGTATTGAGCACCATTGGTTTCACTTAATTTCATGCCTCAGATGAAGATATGGTTGCTGGTATTAAAGCAAGATGGTCAGTCTTCCTGATTTCTGTCCTGCTAAACATTCTGGGATTTCAAACTTTTATTTTTCCTAATCAAAACCAAGGAGAAATTCCCACCAAATGACAAAAAATTGTTTTGGAAATCTCAGAATGATCTTACTGAGATGTTGATGCAATTTTGATTTTCTCGTTTGGCTTTAAAGCATAGGTTTTGCATGTCTTAGGCAGCTGAGATTAAAATACAGCATTCAGAAGAAAGCTATAGATAATTTTGATTACACTTCCACTGGCTGGACACAGTTTTTTCTGTGTGATTGAATCAGCATTTTTTGATTGAAGATTTTCTACCAGCTCTAGTCAAAATTGGACTGCCAGCTGGCAAAGCTTCTGCTGCCTCTAGTATTTGCATAACACTGCCATGGAAAAGGGGATGCTCCAGGGTAGTAGGTTTAGTGGCAGTGGGTAGTGCTGGGGCAGGCTGAGACCCGGCCAGGGCAAATGAAGAGGAGCATGAGGCATGTGGGAATATGATAGGGGTATCAAGGCAGGAGGGAAGAGAAAGGGTAAGTGGTAAAAGCATCAGTAAAGAGGCACCTGCAGCTCTGCACCTTGCACTCTGGGAATGGGAGGAGTGCATGACCTGGAGTGAGACCCTCTGCCAGCATCCTGCTGACTGCAGAGCCAAGCAAACCCATGTTGCACACAGGTGTGGAGGAGAGGGCGAACAGAGGAAGATCTGCATTCCTGAGGGTCTTTGCTTAGGCCCTGGAGGATTTGCAACCATCCACAGTCCAGGGGTTACATATTGGCAGTATGAAAGTGTAAATCAGATTGTTTATCATGCAGAGGAGGTGGCATGTGGTGAAGCAGCCTACTTCCTTTGCCTGGTAAAATCCTCTCTGACATGCACAGAGTGTCTTCTGCTGGGAGAAGATGGGATCACAGCCAGTGGGACCACCACCCCACCCATTCCACAGAGCTGTCTGGGGGAGCAGGCTGGCTGGGCTCCTGGGAATGGCCAACGGTGGCTGTCATCAGTGCTAGCAAGCCACCCACCTGCCTACCCTGCAGCTCTGTCCCTGCCACGAGCGCTGAGCAGTTCTCCTCTGCAAAGGTAGAAGAGGTGGTATTGCCTGGCCACCTGAGACCAGGACATCACTCTGTGGCATCAGTCTGATGGTCCCCACAGCAGAGCTGGGGGGCTGGCACAGACCCCCAGAGCTCCCCCACAGCTACGAGTAGTGGGGACAAGAGAGGGTTAAGCTGTCAGCTCTGTAATGTTAAACAGGTGTCAAAGGCACCTCCATATATCTGCAGATTGAAATCAAATTCTTTGCAGTATAAAAAGATAAATTACCCAGGCGATTCCCGCCTCATCCCACTCATCAGGCCAGCGCCAGACGGCAAGCAATTTTTTTTTTTAATGTGCTAACGACCTAATCAAGCAATCAAGTCGGAGAAGATTGCGGAGTGACCCCGAGCATCCATCTGCCAGCGAGACCCCGACATTCATTTCCATTCTGCCGTGTACTTTCCGGGAAAGGGAGGGAAAAAAATAGAAAAGAAAAAAAAATCCTAAACAAATTAACACCCAATTTTCTGTGAGTCTAATTAGTTAAATGAGGAGGTGTTTGGGGTGTCCACGGGGAGGGAGGGACTGCCTCTCGGAGAGGGGCCTGGTAACTCCATGGCATTAATTAGCGCAGGTCAATGGTGTGGTTCCCTGGGGACCAGCTGCTTTAATTTCCCGTGATATTTCAGTGCCTGAGGCCTATCGATTCAAACTGAAATTAACTTATTTTTCAATCAGGCCTGGGCTGCCCCTGGGGCTGACTCTTCCTTTGCCTCCTTCTGAATAGACCTCAAGCAATTTTTCATCTAAAGCTGATGCCTCTGCTCAGGGGGGGGAAGGGAGGGGAGCTGGGGAGGGAGGAGGGTGAGGGAGACAAGAGGAATGGAAATCGGAGAGAGAGCACTAATAGATTTCTGCGAGTATCACCCCCTCCCTGCCACTGCTGCCCGCCTCTCTGCTCACTGCCCCCCAGGTCACAGCTCAGAGATTATTCTGCCAATTTTCTGAGAAGATGAGGGGTTTTTCAAACCGGGAATTCAGGCCAAAGCGCACAGAGCAGCTTCCCCCTTCTTTTGAGCAGCCAACCCCATCCCAGCCCTCTCTGCAGGCACCGCTGCCTGCAGCCCTGTACCGCTGCTCAGACACACAGTAAATAATAAAAGAAAATCCCAGGCACGAGAGCCAAAAGCCACTAGAAAAAAGACATTGCAATGGCAAATTAATTACATCATGTGGAGAGGGATGGGACCTGCTTTCACACTTGGCCCTCACCACTCCTTCAAGGGAGGGAGGGAGATACCCAATGTCTGTTGCACGGGGGAAGAGGTTGTATTGCCTTTGGAATAAATATGCTTTCATCATGCTGCAGAAGTACATGCATGTTCCCATGTGGGAAGGGGTCTGGCATGCCTTCTCCATGCACAGAAAGCATGTCCCTCCTTGTCGCCTGCTCCAGGTTTGGTTCCAGAACCGCCGGGCCAAATGGCGGAAGAGGGAGAAGTGCTGGGGCAGGAGCAGTGTGATGGCTGAGTACGGGCTCTACGGTGCCATGGTGCGTCACTCCATCCCGCTGCCTGAATCCATCCTCAAGTCTGCCAAGGATGGCATCATGGAGTCCTGTGCCCCTTGGCTCCTGGGTAAGAGACCAGCCAACTTCATGGGGGATGGCAAATGGGTAGAGACAGAGGGATGGAAGGAAGAAATCAGAGTCATGTTGAAAACAGGTGAAGGGCAGCAGGTCCCCCCATCCTGCCACACTTGATGCCTCCATCTGCCAATGCCCCTTGTCAATAGGGTTTGACCACTAATCCCAAATTCCTCCTGGACCTTGGATCATGACCTTCAGAATCTGGCTGGGACACAGATTTTCCCACATGCTCAGGCTGGTGCTAACCTTCACTTCCCATGGCTCAAGCATCCTTCCTGCCCAGCTCTGGAGTAGGGGCGCCAATCCTTGCCCAAGGCAGGAGGTCATCCCAATCTCACTCCTCCAGCCCTGTGATACTGGGTGGGGTGCTAGGACTCCCAAATCCTCTGGGTTTGTCCAAGTTTCCCTTGGTTTTATGGGGGAAAGAAACATGGAGGTAGCAGCTACCCTGTCACACTCCTGCTCTTTGCTTCCCTCTTTCTGACCTTCCAGGCTGGATCTGCCCCAGAAGTAGAGTCTGGCATCTTGACAATGGGCTGTCCTGTCCTTCTGTCTGTGTGAAATGGAGAGAGGCAGAAAGGTGGTTGTGATTTGATACAGAAATAGAAATATCTCTCCTAATGAGGGATCTCCCTCCCCAGTCTCAGTGAAGCTCAGGCAACTAGCTGCTGTCTGAGACCCTCATCTCCATGCAGGAACAAGTTAGCTTCAGGTTCAAAGAGAGAAATGAAGGGGAGAGTAATTATAGACTTTTGGGACCAGCCACCATCCACAGATGCTGGGCTGCCCCAGAAGGCAGCTGCCTTGCCTGGGCTGCCCTCGCACGGGGGCCAGAGCGAGTGGCTCACCGTGACTGCTGTGTGAAGCAAGGGTTTCTGCTTTTCCTTAATTCTGGCCTCTCTTTATCTTTGCTGTTTTCAGTTCAAGATGGCTTTCCCATGCCCAGGCGCTTTTCTAAACCCGAATACCAACAATTCTTTTTAGGGATGCACAAAAAGTCTCTGGAGGCAGCGGCTGAGGCGGGGAGGAAGACAGAGGTGGAGCGCCAGGCCCTGCCCAAGCTTGACAAAGGTGACAAAGAAGAAAGGGGTCCTGATCCCAAAACCACCATTTCCCAGGAGGAACTGAGAGAAAACAGCATTGCTGCCCTCAGGGCCAAAGCTCAGGAGCACAGCACCAAAGTCCTGGGGACCATTGCCGGAGACACCCCAGCCCCAGGCAGGAAGCCGGAGACAGGGGAGGAGGCGGCGGTGGCAGAGGATGAGAGACAGACGGAGAAGTTGAACTCATCGCAGAAGGAGGAGAAGTTGATCTAGGGGGAAGAGAGGTGGCAGAAGCCAGCCCCGACAGACACTGTGTCCTCTGGGGGCCATGTTACCCCTTGGACTGCCAGGTGTCCCCAGCCACCCCTGCCAGGGAGAGGGGCCCTGGTCTCTGTGTTTGGGGCTGCCTGGCAGGGATGCCCACTGCCTGCTCCCCTTAAGCATACCCCTGCCCCTCACTCCTCCACCCCACCAGGCCTTCCTCACCCCCTCACCCCTTCCTTTTGGGGAACCGGGAAATGTCACCTCATCACTGCCACCAATGACACTAAGGCTCTGGTCCCTTCAGCCTCACGACTAGCTCTGGGGCTTTTTCCTTCTGCTGCAGCCCCAAACCCCATTTGCCAACCTGAAGCAAGCCTGTTCCCTGCTGCCATGCCTCTCCTTGGTACACATCTCTGTCCAGTGCTGCCCAGGCCCCTTCCCCTTGCGCCCTGTCCCACCGTGCCCCAGGCAGACATGCCACCTTCTGCTGGCCATCACCTCTGCCTCTGTCCCAGGCTGCAGCAGGACAAGCCCATGGCAGTGCTTGCACAAAACGATGACCATCCATCTAGGGTGGTTTGCACCTTCCACCCATCTCTCCCTGCCCAGCACTGAGGTCTGCTGGGAAGGGACTGCAGCTTAAGAGCAATTATATTTTGCCTCTCTTTGGCAGGGAGAGGCAGGTTTAGCCCACAAGCACGATACCCTGGTCCCACCTGGCACCCTGAGCTGACTGCAGCCCATTTCACTGGCTCCTGCAGGGCTGGGCACTTGGGTCTGGACTCTGCCCTAAACACCAAAACCCTACACCCCTGCAGAGGGAATGAATGGTGAATTTATTTATTGAATACATTATTCCAGGTGAGACAACAACATCCACCTAATGTATTTATTGAATTAAATTTGTCCAGCTCACCCTCTGAGTGTTAAAGGGAATGACAGCCATGCACATCCACCCTGACACACCCTGTAACATGTACAGACATCCCATAGGAGCACATGCAGACCCACACAGCCAAACTCACTCCATGGTACCATCACCTTTCCATCCCAGTAAAGCACTATTCCCCCTCCAAAAGCTGTAGGACAGTGACTTCCAGGTGGCCCTTTCTGTCCTGCTTTCAGCTGTGAGCACCCTTTTCCCAGAGCTACTGTTTTTCTTCCATCAAAGGGTTAAGCCCAGTCATCCAACCCCTGTTTGTCTTTGTCGCACCCCCCCCCCATCGTTTGATGTGTTAGATGATAGCCCATGGAGTGTAAATAATGTATATACAGTGAGAAAATAATTCAGTATTGAGGTGTTTGAGATATGGAGCTGTAACAACTTCTAGTCATCCAGCATCTGTGATTTATGTGCCATTTTCTGTAAAAATATGAAGAAGAATAAAACTAAACAGGAATACCGTGTATGACTCCAGTCACCAATGTTCAAGGAGGGAAAGTTCAGCCAAAGCTGAGAGGGAGTTGGATGTCACACTGTAGCCAGAGAGAAGTAAGAGATCCAAAGTGGCCCAGAGGTCTGCACTTTCCTCCCCACCAAGGCATGGAGGAGATGGGGCTTGGGACTCTCTCTGCAGTGAAATACAAAACTGAAAGTGGTGTGCTTGGTGCTTGTACTTGGAACAGAAATTACAGCATACAACTGTATGAGAAGTGAGAACAAGTCACTTCAGCACCCAGAGCAGCCCTGGTGCTTTGGGTCATCCCATAGCACACGTGCCCTGGTGTTAGAGAGTCAGACAGACCTCCAGGCAGGCTCAGCCTCTGCCAGGAACAGAGCAGGCTGCAGGGCCCCGCTGGCCTGAGGAGCTGAGGCAGCAGCCAGACACTGCAAGTGTGGGAGTCTGCAGGTCTGCAACCAGGGCAGCTGATTGACACATAAGGGCACCCATGGGATTTCCAGCAAGGTGAGCTCCAAATCCAGAGCAATGGAAGCCTATTCTGGGTTACCAGGTGTAGTGGGTTTAGTGCTGGCTAAATGCCAGTGTACCCACTAGAATTATTTACACATTTCCTGCTGTGAGATATGGATTAGGAGGAGGGCAAAACAGGCTCCAAACTTTCAAGGGTAGAGAGAAAATTTTATTAATGGAATTAAAAGAAAAATTATAAGAAAATCAGAATAAACCTTCAGAACACTTCTCCTCTGCCCACACCTTCTTTCCTTTCCCACTGACAACATAAAGAGACAAAACTTGGGACTTTCAGTCAATTTACCACCTCTAAAATAGTCTTCAGTTCCCTTAGGGAGAGGAGTCTCTCTTGCCATGCCATGGAGACTTCTCCACAAAAAACAGTTTTCTTGTGGTTTTTCATTTCCATGAACAGCAGCCGCCTGGAAATCTGCAGTTGTAAAGTCTTTCCCATCTCTTGCAGCTTTTCCATAGCTGTGTTCACAGGCCATGTCAACTTATGGGGTACTATTTTAAGGATGAGCTGTTCTAGCATAAAAGCAAAAGTTCTTTTCGTCTGTCTCTGGGAACAGAGGTTTTCTTCTTTCTTTTCCTGGGGCAAGGTTTCTCATTTCACTCTGTTCAAGATTCTCATTGGATCACAGCTGCTGCAACATCTGCTTACTTCAACACTGATGCCTCTGCTCACGGCTGTGGTTAGAATGCTACATCCCCCCAGTGCATTCCATGAATTACAGGGAAAAACCAAAGTCTGATATATTTGACATATCTTCACCATAGCCTTACAAAATAATTTCAGCACAAGACTAAGGCATCTTCTCAATTCCCTCTCATCTAGAATTTGACTCTTCATTGACCTCAGCGTCCCATGTTGTTTTCTCTACATGTCTTCATCCTTTTCTTTCACTGATTCAGGAGAGAATTGGTGTTCATTTGTTCTCAAGCTTTATGAATTGAAACAGTTTTATAGAGTTTTGCAGTGCTGAAAGGCTGCTCTCATCCAGGCTGTGCATGGGGGAATCGCTCGCTGTGCCTCTTGCTGCTACTCATGGGGTCTCTGCTGACACCATGCGAGCTGTGCCGGCTCCACTCAGCATTTTTCTTCATGTAGAGTGCTGGAAACGAGAAAAGCTGCTGCTGTTTTTGTCCTTCTGACCGCAGCATGGCTGGCTAAAAGTGGCTAAACAAAGTTCATTGCGAGCCATGTGCATGCTCCTGGCCCAGGATGGTGGTGGCCACTCCCAGCCCTGGCCATTCCCGGCCTAAGGGTCGCTTCAAGCACCAACTGCAGGGCCACTCCCGGCACTGGCCCTGGCCACATGGTTGCTCCTGGTGTTGGGATGGCCCCCAAGCAACACCCCCAGCAAAAAAAGGACTGGCGGGCTCCACTAGGAAGGGGCCTCAGCCCCACTGGGATGGAGTCCGGCAAGCTTCCCAGGAAGGGTCCAGCGCCACAGCCCGGACCGGCCTGGCCCAATCTGGCCATGCAGAGCCGGCCCAGCCGCGGAGCTGTTCAAAGGCCAGAAGCCAGGCTGGCTTTTCCCGGGCTTTGTTCGCTTTTAACGGCTCTTTTCCACGGAGGCGGGTTCAGCTCTTTTTAAGTGGCTTAACCGGGTGTCAATCTTCAAAACTAGCCAGCTGATTGGCCCTTCAAACTAGCCAGCTGATTGGCTCTGCCGGGTCCTCACAGGGCTGCAGCCCGGGGCCTCCCCCTAACTGAAAACCAGACTGTTAAACCACCACAGCAGGTAAGGAGTTACCTGCCCTGCTAAGAGGACCTGGAATAGTCTGGTGGGAAAAACTAGTGTCTTCCAGGGACAGGGAATATACTGAGGCAGAGCAGGTGTGCGTAGGAAATAAGAGACTTGTGGAACAATGAGGCTGCTTGGGCCTGGCATTGTGGAGGGGCTGTAAGCCCAAAGGACTGTGCTTTCCCAGGGGCACAGTGCCCCTGTAGGTTCCCACCAAGCTCGGGGCAGCTTTGACACAAAACAGGTGTGTGGTCTGGGATGAGTGTACCTGATGGGAAATAGTGCCTGTCTCCCACACTGGTGTCCAGCCTGTTTACCAAACATACCAGCTCCATGCATTGTGAGTGGTGTTGCACTTTGAAGGGAAAAGGGAAATCTCCTAACCCTGTCGTCTTTACTGTTGATTCTTTAGGTGTGCCTGGCTGATTCTTTAGGTGTACCCTACTTGCAGGAAGAGCCTTTTTCTGCTCTTCTCTTGTGCCCCCTAGGAAGAGAAGGGAATTTGGTCTATGACATTAAGGAATCCTCCAAATTCTACCTTAAAAAAACCTACTCATATAAGCCCTGATGGAAAGGAAGGCAGAAAAGTCTGCTGTTTGAAGGCAGGGAGGAAGCTGAGCTCTGCTGCAGTGGGTGGTGGGAGGTCTCAGCATGTGGAGATGGGCTGTAGTGCTTCATGCCAAACCAACCCCAGCTGCTCCACCATGGCCTCACTGAGTGCTCCCAGCCCAGCTGGTGGTACAGCCAGTCTGTAGTGCTTGGGAGGAGGCAGAGAGCGCAGCCCAACCTGCCAGAGGGGACAGCTCTCGCAGCCACCCAGCAGTAAGGTGGGATGGGATGCAATATTCTCCTGCAGCTGACAGCCATGTGAGAAAAACCTTCCCTGGCCCACCACAGCCTGGTGGCTCTGCCAGCAATAGGCATTAATTCTGGGAAGGGATAGTCCTGTCACTCATGACTAGCATGGCCATCGTCCTAAGATTTACAGGGACCTGCCCCAAGGTGCCTTTGTGGCCAGCAGAGAACTGTGGGATGCAATGGGAGTGCTGTGGCAAGGGTGGGGATGGTCATAAGTAGATGGAGGTGTGAGGGAGGTGAGTGGGGATGAAACAGAGGGGTCTGGGGATGGAGTGCAGCCCTAGGAAAGAATGAGCATGCTGTTGGAGCCTGGCCCAGGCACCTTGGCCCCTGAGGAGAGCCCGGGCACATGTTTAACCTGGCTCCTGTTCAAGAACTGCTGTCAGGACTCAGATTAGCATGAAGGTTATTTTCAGTCAAATATTTCTACAGCCCACCCCTTTCCCCTCCCTTACAGTGATTGAATTTCTTTTTTCCCATAGTGCTCTAGAAGAGAGGAGGAGAGGAACAAGGTACGGCAGACAGGGTGCCTGG